ATTTTTTTTACACGAATTCGCGCTTGCACTTTTTTAATACCAAAAATTCAATAAACTCAAACCCTGTATCTGCGAACCACACCCCGTGATTCCCAAATTTTTTAAAGTAAAAAAAAGAAGAAAAACGGTGCAAGTGCGAATCCGTGCAAAAAGAACTCGTGTAAAGCGCGGGAAGCCTGTACTGGAGCAAGGACCATGCCGACCGAAAGATAAAAATCAAGACCGCTATTTCACAGAATCATATTACAGTACCACAACGAAATCGGGGCTGTCCATCCCGGTAACGTGGCTGTTGAGGACTCCAAACCTGGTCTACGGGCGTACGTGACCGGCGCGGAATTTCGCGGAAAATCAAGGACCGTGCTAAATCAGCTTAGAAATTTGGAAACAGAGTGACTGCAGGATTTCAAAAGTGCGCCATTTTTCACTATCGTTAAGGACGCGACTTGAGGCATTTTAAAAAAGGACCAACTGAGTCATATCTACGCATTTGTCATGCTTTAATATATCACATTTAATTACATTAATACAGTGAATAGCAAACCTGTCACGAGGAAATGAGTTTTATTCTTCGGGGAGGAAGGCCCCAGAATTAAGTTTTGCGGGGGAAGGGGGGGGGGGGGGGGGGGGGGGCCAAAATGTCTTGCTAAGCCACTATCTCGCACATTCCCTGGAATCTCGCCTGGAAATTCCATCTTCCACTGGGCTCCGCCCAACTTCGTCAAATTCGAATCGGACGTCTTTCAAACGCATCGCTTCAGATCTGTACTTTCAAGTGGGAAGGAAGAGAATGAATGAGAGCGTGGGCGTGTCTATTAATTCCGCTATTGATTACACAGTTAATTATGTTGTTAATGATATGGTAATACGGTGTGAGGAATGCGGTCTCTTCCTCGTCTCTAAGGGTTTCAAGTGCTTTTTAAAAACTATTTTTTTTTTAACGTGCTCTGACGATTGTTACTTCGAGCGGTAGGAAGATAAAGCGGGTTTCGATTCTGCGAGATGCTCCGGGAAAAACTGAAATTTACTGAAGGAGCATTTCGGAATTTGTTATTGCTAGTTTGACTGATTTCCACAATATTTGCGCTTATTTTTGTGAAAATATATCTTTTTTGACTTGGAGCATTATTCTAGGGTAATATGGGCACCGTTCGTATCCGGAGGGGGGCGGGAAGGGGGGGGGGTCCTACTTCCCCCATCAGAGTCACAAACTGTAAGGTGTGATAGGAAATGCGGAATTTTGAATTTTGGAATGCATGGAGTCACGGCGTCTGGACACAGAAACCATTTTTCACCCAAATCAGCCAAGGATTTCTAAAAAAAAAAAAAAAGGCGGAATTTCCGGCTCTCTGTCAAATACTTCCCGTGGGTGACTGTGCTGAGGCGCCCAGACACCTGTGTGAAACTTTCGCTAAACCTTAAATTTTTTTTCTGGGCGCCGGGGTAAGGGGGGGGGGGAATTAAAAGCATTTCTTTTTTTTCTCCTCCCCTGCCGACTTAAAGAAACTTGATGCACTTGGGGCCGGTCCGATGTGAGCCTTTCAAGAGGCTTAGGTTGTGACCTTAGCGACTAATTTCTTAATTAAAACTCGCTAATTTTTTGCTTTTGTCCTGTAGGCTTGAAATATACGTTTCTTTATATTTTTTTTTAAATGGAATTTTAAAATCGATTTAGTCATGTTTTTATGACGTTGAGATACAATCCGGTCCTCGAGCTGGTCAAACATCATTTCAGTCCGTTTCACGCCGCTGTTGGTAAATTAAACATGCCTCTAAGGATACGCGGTCGGATGAGATTCATTTATTCTTACAGTCATTACAGACACATCTGTAACATTTTGTAATACGATCAGCTCGTAATTACAGTGTCGGACTAATAAATTCTCCATAAACCATCGTTAAAAAGTCGGGGAGCGGGGAGAGGGGGGAGGGAGCGGGGAGAGGGGGGGAGGGCAGAACGTGGAGCATCCCGTTCGGCACAGGGATGTTCGTGTCGACGTTGAGCGGGGATCGATTTTTCAGCACGGCAGTGTTGCCACAACGGTGTGAGAGGTGGAGTCAATGTTGGCGTGATGTTGTAATGAACCCCTGTTCAACGTTGAAAGGGCGCTGTCACGTTGTGCCATCGTTGAATCGTCAACGCCTGGGCATGACCTCCTCCTTTTCCTGAGACTGAACACGCGCCAATGCAGATAAGAGCTTGAAAGTACTCCAGTATCATTACCCCACGGTGGTCTCATTCTGAGGTCGTCACTTCCTTTCCTGGATCGGAACCGGAGTCAAGTACTTGAACCTTTTGTGAACGCACTCGTCATCCTCCATTCAGTACCCTCCAGGCGACGCCAGGAAGAACGCGAAGCGCGCCGAAAGAGTTAAGGAAACTGGAGTCTTCCTGCCTCCCGTCGAGGCGGGATTATTTAAAGAGAAAGAGTGAATTTGAAATGGATTCCGCTCGGATGCGCCCACGCGGCAGGGAAACTTATTTGCGAGCACGGATCAGGATGTTGCTCTCATTCCGCTTCCTTTGATTATTTTGTCGGTGCAATAATTCCCTTCATCGCGGAGGGGTGCAAGCACAAGGTCGTTAACCCGCAAGAGACTTTCCTGCGTTTCCGATTGGCATCTCCCGTTGAGGGGGTTTCCCGTTAACACGATTTGCAAGAACTCCGTTAACTTTCCTTTCTTGAAGTTGATTTTCATGCTCATGGTTTTAAGTTCGTGCGAATGGTGATTCCTCTGATAACTAATGGCATCTAATTACTTACCTGTGTCTAATTCTCGTGCTGCTAAATACGGCTCCCTCAGCTCTATCCGATCACGTTTATCTCTATAGGATTTCCACCAAACAAGATCTTCGTTTTCAACCCGGGAATCTTGTATTAAAATATAATATTGGTGGGACAAGTATGGAACACTAGAACAGTGTTGATGCCCACGTGCAGAAAGTTTGCTGTTTCGTGAATATTGTCATGAATAGCAGTGACAGATTAATTTTGAAAATTAATTAAAACGTGAATTTGCTCACTTCTGGATATTTTACTTTTGCACCTACTTTTAGGTTGTTCTTTTGCATAGCTGACACAAACATACTTTTTTCTGGTTTAAAATACTAAAGCTTCGATACATTCCGAAATACCACATTTGTAAAAGGGGGGCCAAAAGCCCCTCTTAAGTGCGCATATTCTTTTTTTTTTCCGTCGGTATCTCCGATCTGACAGCCGAGAAGCCGATCCGGCGGAATCCATTTGCGGGTGTCATCGCCCTCTGCGAGGAAGGGAAATACCGAGGAAGGAGCGGGACCGAGGGATTCGATGGAGGAAGGATGTCGGATGTCCCGTGCCCTTCCCGGCCCATCGTGCGGCCGAGGGGAATGGCTCCATCGATGGATCGGGGGCAAGGGCGGGGACAATTGACGTCTGATTCGCGTGGTGCCTGTCGCTCTCGAGACGCTTCAATGTCACTTTCGTGGCACTCGATAGGAGGGAACACTTCTTATTTACCCCTTGCCGTGCTTACTCATTCGTTGCGGATGGGTTTTCTCTCATTTAGGGCAGTGGTTCTCAACCGCCTGTTCGGGAGCCACGGGCCCTCGTTAGCATTTTGCGGGTCCACCAGAATGCCGATAAATTGAGTACAGAATATCGTTACAATTGTTAAATTATATGCGAAGAGTGAACTACAATTTACGATTCTTTGTCCCAAACTACTATCGCCCTGCCTGTCATCTTGAGGCAGTCACCACAATTCAAATTCTGGAGAGCGGGGGCAGGGGGGGACGACGAGATGAAGGGGTACTGGCAGGATTTTCTTCTTTTTCACCCCCCCCCCCGTTCATTATATCCGCTCATCAAACGTTCCGTAAGTCATTGCTGAAACGTTTTTACCCCGTAATTCGCCAACGTTATGTATTGCCCCAAAACTTCCCTTTGTTCCTTCGCCCAGCACGCTAGCACCCATGTCTGGACTATTCCATGGATGAGAAGTGGGGGGGGGGGGGGTGATCGTTGTTGGGATAGTTGGATAGTTCGCCGTCACGATGCGGCATTATCAGAAATAACTATGACCTTTAAAATACAGATTAGAGTCAAGCACCCTGTTTGAATCCTTCATGTCAGCGAAGAAACGAAAAAGTTGGTTGGAACTGGGTTGGAACCGGTCCAGGTTAAAGGACCAAGTCCGGGGGTCTCATTCGTATCGGCACAAGAGAAGCACATCGGCTAAGTACCTATCGAGGTACTTTTTAAGCCGAGTGCCTCTGCTCGAGATTGTCGACGAATCGTACGTGGAGACGAGGATTAGAGGCATTACGTCATCTTGCTTGATACGATTTCACCGTTCGATGAAATTTCTCACTCTCTGGAGGCGTACTCGAATTAAAGTTTGGGCCCGTAATGAACTCCTGGGGGATTGCGTGGGTGGGACTCGCATCCGTGCAGCTCCAAAAGAGGAAAATCCCATTATAGTCTTTAAGCCGCTTAATTCTTCCCAAATGGGTGTTGGACTTTCGAGCGTTCAGGTTTCGTAATTAGAGGAGATTCAATCGAAGCGGTACCGGGCTGGCTCTCGGAGCGTACCGAATTCTTCCTTTGGAGGGCGTTCGGGCGTGGTTTTATGTTCGCGCTCGGATTCTTCCTTTGAGCTTGCAGCTCAAAGGGAATCCGAAACTGCAGAAACGTGTGATATTACAATCACTTGGGTGTCCATTTCTAGTTTTTGGGAAGATGCGCATCGTGTTTTGGCCTCCGGCGAAAATCACGATTAAAACACGATGGTGGGTGCAGGTTTAAATCGACCACGGGCCTGACTGTCGTCACACGAAGACCGTGACTCGATCTCTTAGGGAATCGAAGTCGCCAGAGGGCTTTTCGACGACATAAATTCAAAAAGGGAATATCGAAGAGGAATCGCCTCAAACTCGAAACCCCCAGAGACCAGAGACTCTTCCCTCTTCAAAGAATGGAAAGAGGAAAGAAATTGGAACGAGAGGAATCAATTTTGCGATGATCACGGGTCCGTGCCGATTTGGCCGCCTTCGACCTCGGATGAACCGAGACCCCCAGCTGTGGGCTGACTTACCCTTGGCGTTGCGAAGGAGAAACTGCCGATCTAACGGTACGAGAACCTTCATGACGAAAGTGAGTCGACGAATGAGGTCGAGCATGCGGTCTGTTACGTTTTCTCTATGACCAGAGCATATCCATATGCTGATATGATTGGAGGAGAATCGACTCCGAAGGATCATGAGTTTTCGTCGCTGCACGGAGAATATGCAGCGCATCAAACTGTCTTCATTGTTTTATAGCCGCTTCAAAATGGTCTAAAATGGGGGATGGGGCAGATGTGCCGTAAGACCAGATTTGTCAATCAGAGATGTGCGTCTAACTTGAAGAAAAGTGCTGGATGTGGAAGAGGTACCCAAGGAGAACCCAAAGAGAGGGGAATTATCGCAGGGAAAGTTTATCACTCAAGCAGATCCAATTGGAATCTTTTCAGATTCCAATTGGATCGTCCTCATGGACATCGACGGTAGCGAACCGGAAAGGAAAGGCCAGCGACGAGTCGTCGGAACGTGGGGCCATGTTGCACTTGTAGTGAGCGACACGGCGTGGCCGAGCGACTCGTGATTCACCGTATATGCCTGAAGACTCGATCACCGGTCACCGATCCCAGCCGGAATCCAGGCCGAAGACCGAGAATTTTCGAACGGCCGGAATGCGCTGTACGAGAATTGCACGAGAGAAAACATGGAGAATTTTCAGAGTGCGATTCCCTATCGTCCCCCTTGCCCCTTCCCTCTCCCCTTCCCTCTCCCCTTCCCTCCATATAATCTATGAATAACTAAATATGTTTATTCCTAGCCCAAAGTACGTCACCCTCGCGAGAATTACTGTAGCGAGAATCACTTTCAGCGAGGATTCAAAAGCAAGTTTTGAGATTTCAGTTCAGGGTGGAAGTCGAACCGCATCTCGAGACTGTCGCGTAGAGCAGTGAAAACTTTCGCATCATCAGCCCCAGTAAGTTATGCAAAAAATAACGCTTTTAGGCGTTTAGGGTGTGCTACATGTGGGGCAGAGACGTTGCGCCGATTTGGAACAAAGTATTTCATCTGAGAGAATACAATGACAGGAAGTGCGTGTTGGCACCAACCAGACTATCTGCACTTGTAGATAATCCCCCCTAAAGCAAAATGGGGAAAGTGTGACAATTTCTGTTCCTTTGATGCTTTCCCTTTCGACGAGAGCCTTCTGAAACGAATGTAATAAAAAAAAGACTTACAGGTCTAATAGGAAAAATATTTCCTGCAACTCGATTTGTGTCGAAGCCTGGCGTCACCCGTCTTCAAGGGGAAAGCCTGAAATCGCAGCGCGCACGGAACGAGAGCGGCAGCGGAACTGTTTTCCCGCGCGAAAAAAAAGAGCGTATTCGATTCTCGTTCGAGCCTGGACGCGAAAGGAGGCAGCGTCGCCCGCGAAATAACGAACTTGATTTATATCTCGACGTTGCAAAATCGTTGGAAATTTGACCTCGAGCAGGTGACGAAGGCCACCATCGAATTTTCGTTGGTTTCACTCGACTGTCTTTCGGCAACGGCCATTCAGGAGCGGAAAGAGCCGAATCGAAGAATCCCTCGGGATGGCACTCGGCTCCTGCGGAGACTTCTCGCTGCTCCAGTCCCGTTTGCACGCTTGTGTCACTTGCTTGCGGGGACGTCGGTATTCGACGGCGAGAGGTTCGGCGCGAGGCCTTCGCGATCGGCGACGATTCCGCGGGTTGGAGCCCGATTGCAGGGACTCTGACGCGTCGAGACGGCGAAGGCCTCGAAGACGCAATTCCTCCTCATCGAGTCACATCGGGAAATGCGGAAATGTCACGATCCGAGACATTCGGAGATCCTCATCGAGCAGTTCGATCCCTTACGGAAATTTCCTATAGGAAACCTATAGTTACTTCTTATAGAAACCTATAGGCTTTCCTATAGGTTTTTGAAACACGAAAAACCTATAGGGTCTTATAGGTCTCCTGACCTAGAGGATTCAGGGAGGATATTTTGGGTTTCGAAACCCAGGCATTACGACAGAAAAGGCGACCGGGGTTAATATTGGCGCAGCATTTCGGTGTAAATCAAAAACCGATTAGGGGTTTTTCCATGGTAGGGACACATGCCTTATTAATACCAGTACTGCGGGGGTTTGTATAATTTATGGCCCCGCCCCACACGTGTCGCTGGATTGCACGTCTACTTCCTTCGGTAGGAAGAAGTAGTATTTTTCTCTCGACCTAAGAAAATAGAAGACAGAGCCTGCGAGCACGTCTCTTTACTGAAACTCCATTTGGATAGAGTCTACTTAGTTTCGTACGCGGTTTTCAAAAGGAATAAGGGCATCCCTTACGGAAATGTCCTATAGGAAACCTATAGTTATTTCTTATAGGAAACCNTTTGTGCCCTTTGAGAAATGCGAGAACCCAATACTCATCTCATCTAGTGGCCTAGAGGAGAACATCAAACGGAACCCTATAGGCCCATAGGGTTCCGTATAAGCCCTATAGGGAACCCTATTGGTCCTATAGGTCCTATAGGGTTCCGTATAGGCACTATAGGGAACCCTTTAGGCACTATAGGGAACCCTATAGGTCCTATAGAGAATCCTATAGGTCCTATAGCGAACCCTACAGGTCCTATAGGGAACACTATAGGTTTTATAGGGAACCCTACGGGTCCTATACAGAACCCTTTTGGATTCTATAGGGAACCTATAGGCCTTATGGGGAACCGTATTGGTTCTATAGGGAACCCTATAGGTTCTATAGGGAACTCTGTAGGTCCCAAACTGAACTCTATGGGGCTGTAGGAGGTAATTTTATAAAGATGATGAAATCACAGTAAAAGATAATGCACATGTCCGGCATAACGGAATAAAAGGGTAGCGCGAGAGAGTAGCGCGGGTCGGGTCGGGTCGGGTCGAGTCGGGTATGTCAAGTGAGTGAGTCGGGCAAGGGAGTCGAATTGTAGAATAGTGAGGAGAAGCCTGAGAGAAGACGCGGGATATTGAGTGGACCCTTGACGTCAGTGCTGGAGATCGTATGCTGTCTGTCACCCCACCGATACCACACGGGTTTATATGCAGGTATTGCTCATTGAGTATTTATGGTCTAATAAGCGTTTAGGGTTACAGAATTTTGACATTTGGCCCCATATCCATTTCCTGGTTCTCATTATTATTGACCTCTTTCCAAGCTGATTGTCACAATAAAGTAATTGTATATTTAAGGAGTCAACGGAGTCATTATGAACCTCGAACACGCTGGCGATCTCTTCGTGATTATCATTAACGTTAAATCACGTCGGAGCCGCCTACAGGGCATATAGGATCCTATAGGATTCCTTCAGGTTCTTATAGGATTCCTATAGGATTCCTATATATTCCTAAAGGAATATATAGGAATCCTATAAGACATTTTCGTAAGGGATGGCTCTCCTCGCGATTCCTCGCGCTCCCTCGCGCTCTCTCGTGATTCCTTCTCCCTCTCGTCCTCCTTCCTTCCCTTATCTGACCCGGAAATTTCGTGCCGTCTTCGCAAATCCTTTTCACGAGACGAGTCGGAGTCATCGAAGATCACCGATCGATTTTTTCCTATTTTCAATAATTGAGCGTCGCGTGACTGCTGACGTGACTGCTGATGTGACTGCAGACGTCCATCACAAGTGTACGGTGCAGCTGACGCTTTTTGATTTGTTCGAACATTTCCGATTCCAGTTGACTCGATCGTCGACGTAGGTACTCCCCCTATCGTTCCTGTCTGACCAATTCCTGCAGCGTCTCCCATAGACAGACAGCTCTCCGGAGAGAGACTTCAACCCATGAAGTACGAGAGTACGAAAGATCCGGGATGCTCAGAGTCATCCCGTCAAAAAATTGCAGCTATTTAATTTTTAATTCAATTTTGAACCTTTCTCATGCTAGACGAAGAACCTGCAGGGAGCTGAGAGTTCCAGGAATACGTTTGAGCTCCACTAATTAGATCGCATGCATCAATTCACCTTGTCCCTTGCCTTCCCCGGAATCGATCTTGCCTCGAGGAATCATCGAGTCCCACTCTCCCCCCCACAGGCACCGGTGTCTGCGGAAGACGGCGACGGTGTTGGTGCTGAACCTGGCGGCGGCGGACCTGGGGAACTCCCTCATGCATTCCATGGCCACCGTCTCCTCCTTCAGCCACGGATGGCAGTTCGGCAACTCAGGTACTTAAAGTGTTCCGAGTAGTTCCATGATATTAGGTTCGCTTTTGCGTTTTATCGATCTCCAGTCATTAAAAGATCGATTGATTTGCGCGTGGCGCTGTCAGGCGACTCACAACGGTTTCACCGCATAAAATTTAACTCTTTCAAAATGTTCTCAAGAATAAATACGCCCCGAGGGCATTTACCTCAAAATTCGATTTTTTCTGAACTTTGTATCCCAATAGCTACTTGCGTACCGAATTTCGAATTGCTAATCTCTGTAGAACATGGTTAAAATTAGCGCCAGTCGCGATCGTCGATATATATTAGAAAATGATGAGCAGTACGACATCTAAGAATTAGAGATCGACCGATATATCGGTTGTCGTTATAAATCGGCCGATATGTGCGTATCGGTGAGTATTCATATCGGCTCTCGCATGCATTCCAATTTTTTCCGATATCGATTATTCAGTTCTGTATAATCTTCCAGTACGAGGAAATATGATTAGGACTAGCTCTTCGGCTCTCAAATATGAATAGAAACCCTTGCGGATGAGTGTTCTGGCCAATACGGCATCGCCGAGAGGCGAGGAACTGCAAGTCTTTCGCTATGTTCCCGTTCTTATTCTCGTACGTAGAAGTTAGGCGTATTCACGACTGCGGGAAATTCAACGGCCAAAACGAGAGACAGTCGTCCTGAGGGTTAGGTTTCGCTGATGATCGTCTTTCGGACGATCGTTTAATTTCGTTTAATTCGCGGACACGGGGAGGGGGACTCCTGCCCTTGCCAGACCCCGTCCGCGAGTTAAATGAACAGACCCCGTTTATAATTTTGAGGCTGCTGCCTCACGCTAACACTCCCATTTAACCAGGGTCTAAAACGTGGGTTAAAACGCGGTGTGAGCGTAGGCCTAAACTTGTCCAAAATACTCCGTTCAACCACGATATTTCCAATGCTCGCCTCCGGAAACTTTTAAAATGTTTCGTTCCTCCTCCTCCTCGGGGCCTATGCTCATCCGATGGTATCTGGTCTCCAACAAAAAAAAAAATAACGACACCAAGAAGAGGAGATATATCCTTGATATTTGGTTTCGGAACTCTTTGGGCAAGAGGAACGCTCTGAATCCATTGAGGCCATTCTCTGCATCACATAATTTAAGAGACCCAATCTGCCAGTTCGATCGACTCACTTGAAGTCGGAATCCTGTTGAAAAGCTAGGCATCGTCACCTTCAGAGCCATTGTGCTCGACAGACGACACAGTCGCGTATATGCCCTCTTCGTGCAGCAATACGTGTATGTTCGGTTTGGGGTGCTTGCAAGTTTTTATTCTGCCGATTCTCCCGAAGTCCTTGACACTCAAATATGTTATTGTCTTTCATGAATTCAAGTCTGGTGTCTCTGGTTGATTTACCGAATTGAAGGAATATTGCTCGACTGCTTGATGTTACTTTATTTTGGCAGTCATTGCTGAAAGATTAGCGGCGCCAATTGTTGATGACGGTGGTTTGAAAAGACTGGCACGACCGGCAGGATTCCTTACATTTGTGAAGATTAAGAAACCGAGAAGATTAAGAAACTAAGAAGCCGAAGTAGGCGAGACATTGAAGAGCGAGATTGAAAAAATACCAATAAAAAAAAGTCGGATTTCGTGGAAAGGGATTGTGACATGAGCCGTGACGAACACGGAACCCAAAATGTCTCATCCCCGCTTCATCGGCAAAAGGCTTTTCCTTTCGTCTTCAACTTTTTTTTTCCGGGAATTCCAATTAAAGGAAGTTTACGAAAGAAGGGGGAAAAAAAAACTGGTTTTGTCACCTGCCAAAGTTCTCTTCTTTACTTTCCCTCCCTCGCGGGTGTCTGTTCCTCATCAATCAAGCGATCTATTGGGTATATATTTTTACTCGGAAAAGAGCATCGAAAAGAACCATTCTCTTTCGCGACGCAGACATCGATACCAACCGCCAGTCTCGGCCGTCGAGAAAAAGTGACCGAGCTCCCATTCTAAAAATGTTACTTGTCGCTTATCCAGTTCGTTAAGTAACCAGTTCCAGAGTGTCTCAGACACAGTTCTGTTCTTCGTTTCGAATAAGAGAACGGGGAAAAATTGGACGAGTTGGAATAGCAATCTCCCTCCGCCAAAATTCGTGGAAATTCTTTTGAGTGGATAAAGATTCTAAGAAACTGTTCTGTCATGTAAATTTTAGCTTGAGGTCATTAGCTGCCAAAGTGAGAAATGCCTTAAATCATCATTGCAATCATCATCCGTCTCTATACGATGCAAATGAGAAATGGAAGGAAAGAAGGGAGGAAGATATGGAAATTTAAAAGCAGCCTGCAAGCCAACCGGGTGGAAAGTAATGCCCCCATAGGTGATGTAGTAGGTCTAGGTTCAAGACCTACTTATGGAGTGGGTCTAGGTTCAAGACCTACATATGGAGTGGATCTAGGTCCAAGACCTGCTTCTGATCCATCACCACTAGGACTGCAACAGTCAACACTGCTTGTTCTGCAGACTGAAAAAGTGGCACCCATCTGATCCCATGAGTATAAAAACTAACGAGTTCTTCCTCAAGATGACAGGAGAATACATGACCTTTGGTGGAGAACAATGGATAAAGAAGCTGATTCCTGAATCACGACCATGGTATGCTCAAGAATTCCTCTTGAAGATTTTCATGCTGATCAGTATCTTACAGGAGCATTTCGAGAGATGTTCCATGAAAGGGAGATCAGGAAAATGCAGAAAAGTAACTCTTCATCGGGAAAATTTGAAGTAAATGAAGCGGTGCTGATGAATCTTCGATTTGGTTTTATGCTGAAATATCTGAAAACATCGTATCGGCTTCGTATATCGGCCAATATCGGAATCGGCAAAATCGGTAAAATCCAGTATCGGTCGATCTCCACTAATAATGGCTGCAATCACTAAGGCCGATTTCTGAGAGAGATATTCCTTTGAAGCTCATTAATGCTTCAAAGCAACCATGAACAAAAAAGGGACGAGAAAAAAAGCGACTGAAATAGACAAGATCAAGGTCAAGAAGTTCCATTTCTATGCTCGCAATATTCCCGGGAAATGGAATTCCTCGGAAATCACGGGACTCAATTTCTCACCACGAAGGGACATGATGGCCAATAGTGCCTTTAATTGCTTCTCTTTGGGCCAAGAGGTTCTTCCAGTGCTTCGAAGCTGCGCGGATCGTGGAGCTTTTCGTTGCATCTACGCTGGAAACGCTGGCGTTCGTTTAAGATAATTAAATTTATTTAGAGGGTTTGTCCCGTTCTAAAACAAATTAAATGTTGCACTTTGATGGTATGGGGATCTAAATTCGGGCAAAACATAATTTCGGTCGAGAAGATGAGTTATATAAATAATAAATGGTGAAGATTGGAAGAACTTGGAGCTCCTTGCTCTCGTCAACCGCAAATGCTTCTTGGTTTTTGCAGGCGGGCTTGTCTGTGCATGGGTGGGCGCATGTGTCTATGCACGCGATTCGCGGTTACTGGACTTCACATATATTATTACCATCTGCATTGATTTCTCTTGCTCTAAGAGTCAATATATTTCTGTTGGTGCGGTTATTTCTTCTTAAACACCATCAGGGAGTGACTACCCGGGGGGGGGGGATATAGGAATAAAATTTACTTCTTCAAAAATTAGATTCTGTGTTTGCAACCCCGGGGAGATGGAACTTCTGATTTGCCGGGAGCGATTCGGTGCTGAGGAGAAAGAAGTAATCCCAATTTCGTTCCTCCAGATGCTCTGAGAGGAATACGAGGAAGTTTAATTTTGCCATGGGAAAGGGGTTGAAGAAAAGTAATAGCCGCTACTCAAGATCATCCAAACTTACCAGTAAGTAACCAAAGTCTAAAAAGTACTAAAAGTCGGAAAACAAACAATTTTCTACCCTTCAAATCAAAGCTATTCAAAAAGATACGGAGTGAAGATCGTCCAAAAGTTACGTGTCTGAAAGTTATTCTTGATGGCTTTGTCACCTTTAGGAATGTCAAGACTTGCTTCTCCGATCAGATTATACAGAAAGCACCACCTCACGAGATGAATATTGGCGATAGTTGAGTTTTGCACGTGTTCTCTTTTCAGGGTGCAAATTTTACGCCGGGATGGTGGGGCTGTTCGGTCTGGTGTCCATCATGACGCTGTCCGCCATCGCCGTGGAGAGGTGCCTCGTCATCGCGTCGTCTGCGAAATTCTCCAAGCCCACGCCTGAACTCGCCAAAAGGGTAGATTGTGCAGAAATCGGTGTATATTTTTAGCCGAAAAATAGAAGCACCGTGAATTGGCTTGCGGTCACTTTTGCAAAAGTAGCCGGAAGTAGCTTCCTTAATAATCCTCGGACTTCATGCAAACGAAGGGAAAAAGCAAAAATATAGAAAACTCAGAAAGGTGGCACTTACCAGATACCTTCAGAAAATGGCATCGAACTGACACACTGCATGGGACGTGTCCCCATCAGACTGACAAAATTTCATTTGAATTCACTTTGCCAATCAATTCTAGGAGCAAATATTTATGGGATTAGGAGACTAAAACGTGACGGTTTGCCATTGTATGCATAATCGGGCATTCCAACGGCAATGAGAGCTCGTTTTCTATCCCTCAGTAGTAAAAAACTCTAAAAATACACTCATTCAGAATGTGGTGCTCAGTTTTGAGACCAGAAAGGAACGAGATTTGACAGCGCTTGAAAGAGTTCTGAAAGGGACCCGAGAAAAGATAAAAGAGATAGAATTACATTCTAACGAGGGACATTTAGAATCGGCGAGACTGCATCAAACGAAGTGGAACGAGGGGGGGGAATGCTTATCCAAGCATTCAAGATCATTAAGGGAATCGATAACGTCGAATTTTTACAACTCTGGTGAGGACAGGACGAGGAACGGCAGAGTACCAGTCCAAATGGTTTAGGACATGGGTAAGGCTGCAGTTTGCCTCTTATTACTTGAAGAAAATGTGTAATTCATTAGTTGATGACGTACTCGCTACTCTTTCGTGACTACCTTGGTAACCTTGGGAGCTTACCAAGAGGTTAGATGCCTTCACGGCCGCAACAGAGGGCCCTAATAACTGCAAGTAACTTGATATAAGACACAGAGTCTCCCACAGGAGTACTTCCATTTGATTTGGTTATGGCGATCTGGTTATATTTTATGTGAACGCCCGATCTTGAGACGAGACGACTCAATAGACTATACTACCAGAACCTTTAGAATTGCCATTCAATATGGGTTCCAAGATTTTACCTCGTACAGCTACGGTACGCAGGCGAAACCACCAGTCGGCTGCCCACATCGAAACCTTCAGGCTTCAAATATAAGGGGGCCCCCCTCGTTTTTGAAGAACGAATTTGAAATAAATTACATTCCTCCTTTATAAAGTACACCATCTTATGCATTCGTGCAAGTTCGGTGAAAATGGATCTGGGGTAGGACGTAGATATTGAGGTTGAAAGTCAGGTGTCCTCATTTTCCATACCCTAAACGTTTGCATTGGAGGTTGAGCGACGTTTGCTATCCCCTCAGGTGTGCGTCGGAATCTGGTTCTACTGCCTGGTCCTGGTGATTCCCCCATACTTGGGATGGAGCGACTACGTCCCCGAGGCGTTCCTCACGTCCTGCACCTGGGATTTCTACACCCGGACTCTAAGTAACAGAGCGTATTACCTCTTTCTCCTGCTCTTCGGATTCGTCGTTCCCGTTTCCATCATCTTCTGGGCTTATATTTCCATCATCTGCACATTCCGACACGTCAAGTCAGTCTCACTTCCATATTTCTGTGGTATCGAAACATGATTCGGAAATGGGAGACCTTTAACGCAAAACCAAATTGAGAAACGGAATTTCTCTTTTATTCGTAATCAAGTCTCCAAGCAGTAAACACTAACCCGAATGAGGTTTCTAATTTCGACTTGGGATTTTCATATCTTTACCAAACACGTTCGATGATACACGTTGATACACGTGATCACGTTCTTGGAAATTCCGCTCAGAATTGAGCTGAATTGAGCTCATGGCAGGCATGAAAATAAAATGATTAGAAGAGTTCTTGAAAAACATCGAAAATATTAATTGCTGGGTCTCTTGAAATATGAATGTGAGTAATGGCTTTTTTCTTAATCATCTACCCGCATAGGAACAGCAAGCAAACTGTGATATGCCATTAGGTTATGTTCGAGGCTGGTTCCAATACTGGAATATGCTGATGAGGTTAACACGCGAATCATCTATTCATTCCTCCCTTTCTTCTATATTCCTCAACAAGCATTTAACACTCAACACTTTGATGATCTCAAGACATTTATCAGCGTTCCCTTACCTCGGCAAAAATACAAGATGAATACCTAAGTTTGCTCTTAATAATTGTCGAGGAATTGAAGCGTTCCATATGCAATAGAGAGCAGCCACTGCTTGACAGCACAGTTCTTGAGGACTCGTGGTTCTTTGCGAGAGCCCCAGGAAAGGAAAGGGGGATGTGATTGCATTGGGGACTGCAGGGGAGAGTTTCGATTGGTCCCTAATCTTGAGAAAGTTTCCGCCTCTTCAGGAATTACGAAAGGTCTGAGGGTGTGCAGGAAGTTTTCTTCCACCATAAGCGATTACAAACATGAAAGTAACTTGCGGGTCCCCTCAGTATTGCCTCATAAACCTGTGAAAGGTACTCGGGCTGGACGTGTTTACCACGGGTTATTCTGGTTCCTGGAACAGGCAAGAGGCGCAGAAAGACTCGGAAGGGAGAAGCAAGAAGGAAATTTTGTGAGTAATTTTAGGGAAATAAGTCCCTTCTCCCGCGACGGAGTTGCGGAGCAGCAATGCAAATATTGCATTTCTACTTCTCGAGACAACCAACTTGCAACGCGTTTAGTCCGGGATCTACTAGCACGTGCCCTCATACTTGAGATGTGGATAATATAATGTGGTATGTGAAAAAAATAATTATAGGGAGGCAGGCGTAAAATGGAAGAGGATGGCCAGCGGGAAAACCATGGCTATGTACTGCTGACGAGAGCTTGTAAATTAAGAAATGCTCACCCTTGGACCTCCAGGCACACGCAAAGTCAAAGCGGGGTGCTTATGTAGAAACCCGCAGCGCGATGGAGCCCCTATCCTGTCTTCCATTCAATGAGAGCACACCTGACCTTCCATGAGCGATCTCAATACCTTAGCAGTTTGACTTAGCATCAAGGTTAGTGATGGCGTTCGGGAGGGAGGCAACAGTCATATTAATTTTAAAATATCAGGAGAAAAATTGTCGAGTAAACTTTATTCCATTCATTAACGTAAATGCGAACGTGAAAAAGCTAAACACCACAATGGTCTTTGACCTAAAACACGTTTTAATGTCATACTCGAAAATCTGTATGTTCTTGTATGGAACTCAAGGCATGTAGGCAAATAGAGCAGAAGGAGAGAGAGAATTGGATATGTCTCTTCTCTCTGTTACGTTCTTGTAATAGATCCTAAGGCTATTCCTTCTTACTGAAGACCTTCTATCTACCGAAATAAATCATCCTTTCATCAGAGAACAAGGATCTTTACGAAGAAGTGCCCGCTTGCGGGAATGGATCAGGTCCATAAGGTTTCATACATGACTTTTTGTCCCGCCGGCGGCCGCATTAAGCCAGCCAGAGTTGCCATAACGCGATTAGTTGGAGGGTGGAATAGGGGCCCTGTCGTTCTGCGGGTTTGTACATAAGCTTCCGGCAATGGCATTGGGGAGTATGCATATATGTTTATTTTCAAATAAAGAATGGACGAAATAATTTTGGCTATAGTTGGCATCGGTGGTTCAGTGGTAGAATGCTCGCCTGCCACGCGGGCGGCCCGGGTTCGATTCCCGGCCGATGCAGCCCTTTTTCCCCATCCTGTTCAAGACTCTGGCTATCAGTCACCGATCAAATCTGCATATGAACCGAATCAATATGCAAATTTAATGTGTATATTGTGCTCATAGACTTTTGCTCTACCGAAGCCCTGTGACTCATCGATCGTCATCTGATGGCGATTATGGAACCAAAGCGATCATATTCATATTTTCTGTCACCGTGGCAGCCATCATCTTGCGTATGGACGACGTTTATGCTAACAGAATTGAAGAAAGGAGGCTTCCAAAAATCCACTTCGTTGACAGGCGAAAGCTGCTCAACTGAAGAATCAGCACGCAAGTTGATGATCATTGCAAAGTTGTTTAATTGGATTTTCTATCATGCGTGTCCGGGTTTGATCATTGTAGAAATGGGCGTTCTTTAGTAATACTTAGTTGTGAATATGTAATATTCAGTTGACATGTTTCTTCAAAGCAACAACTGTTGAAGCTCCTCGGAAACGACAGGAAATCTTGCCGTTAAGTTTGCCTGATCTCGAGGGTACGACAAGGGGAAGTAATATTTTTCCTTTAAAATGGTGTATAGAAAAGCGGTAATAAATTTTTGTGGAAATAAAAAGCAACGGAAGAGGGAATGAATTGGAGGACTTTATGAGTTATCTGTCGGGTTGCCCGGTTCTTCCTCGTCTTCCCGATTCTCCCTCTCGCAGCGTCCCATGCCGCTACTCTTCTTCAGCCATGCGGAGTGCAAGGATATTTTAGCTTACTCCTTGACTTGCCTTCCCTTGGAAATTCGGATCCTAACCATCCATTTTTGTTTTGAATCACCGAGTCCCTCTGAGATGTTCGGATGTAGCCATCGTTTGTGGGGTTTTGCTGTCTTTGAATCTAAAACTGGTATTGATCATATATCATGTCAAGAATACGATAGAGTCCATTTGATATCAAAATATCATACCCTATATCCTACTGGAAAGGATAAGCGCTCCGTAAAAAATTAACCTTGCATATGCCAAACAACCTTTATGTCCTTCCTTGAAGGGATATGGGAGAGACTTCGGAGAAGCGGAACGAAAATAAACGGGAAGCACGAAAACGAACCGAGTTCTGGGTGGCCAAGATCGTCTTTGTCCTCATCGTTCTATTCCTGGTCTCCTGGACCCCGTACACGATCGTCAGCTTCATCGCCATCTTCGGGGACATCGATCTGATCACCCCCTGGGTCTCGGCCGCTCCGGTCGTCTTCGCCAAGGCGTCCGTCGTCTACAACCCCATCGTGTACGGGATCTCCCACCCGGCGTTCCGCTTCAACCTCAAGCGGACGATCATCAAGATTCTGAGCGCGAACATGAGCGAGGAGGGGAAGGAGGTGTTTCCACCATCGTCCTCTGATGCGTCTCGCCTACGAAACAACGCCGGACGACTCCCTGGTGACTCAGTAAACACGGTAAGAAAAATGATATTCTCATTAATGGACGCCATTTCCATTCCTTCCATTCATACTTGCAAGTTTCGTATTCAAACAATCAATAATTGCTACGTTCATACGATTCATAAAAATACCAATCATTTTCGCACTACTCATTGGCATGGTATGCGCATGCCTGTTGCGACATTTCAATTCCTTTCTTTCCCTTTGGGTGAGGCGAATTCCAACCCTGCTGGGTTCCAGCTCATACGTCACATAATTTAACGTAGCAAGTAATCCAATCTTCGTTTTCAAACCGAATTATTCCAAGGATCGGTCTCAAAACGTGAATGACCCGCGCTTGCATCTTCCTCTCGAATGGTACAAGTTCCGAAATCACGAGATACAAAACACAGGCACGGGACGCAGATTTACAGGCACATTTTCCGTGGAGCGAAGTGAACCAAGGAATATTGTCAAGATCGTATTAACGATGGAGTTCCTTTGGCATTTGCAATGTACGGCCGAATGAAGACAAATGGCCCAGTGGGAGTTCGTTATCCAGAAGGCCCGATAACGCAAAGCTGAACGAAGGCGAAGCCGAGCCTCGACGGCCTGACGTCCCTCGGAACCTCCTCCCGAGCATGATGCAGATGAGGTCCCTTGGAGGTATTGGGCTCCGCATGGGAAATGCCCTATGACGTCTGAAGGGACGAGGCGACTTCTCGGAAATGAATTAATCAGAGACCGACTCTGATGAATGGAATAATTAATGAACGCATAGAAATATTAGATTAAGGGATTCACCAGATCGGCGCCTAGGCCCACATCTCGCAATTACAGCCCTTGCGCCTCCTTGACTGTGAGATCACAATCAACCGGCTCAGTTCCTATTTTCCAGCGTAAGTTAAGGGTTCCTGTTTTTTATTTTAACTTTTCATTATACTATTCATCTATTGTACTGTTCGTTTTTTACTTCCATAAATTTCCCTAAAAATTATCATAAGTTACTATTAAGTATAATGAAACTAACCGATTATCTAGGAACTACGGAAATATGACTTCTTTTTTTCTTAAAGAAAAGTGAATGGCTAATGCATTAATGACAAGTTTCTCATTACAGATCATTTTTGCTAATTAAACATAACTTGCTCGTCATTCATTGTTTATATTTCAATAGCGAGTAATGATTTTTATTGGTTCATTCTTGACATATTGACTGTACCATGCACATGAGGTACACGAGACGTATGGTGTTTAAATCAGGGTCGGATCCTGACCCGTTTCCGCGACTATCACCGCGAGGCGGAGAGCGTCGGCAACGACTCCATCGCCTCCTGTCCCGCCGAGGATCGCAGCGTCGACCACGGCCGGAATCGCGCCCCCAACGAGAAGACGGTGCGATTCAAGACTCCCGAGCGCAAGCAAATCCCCGATGGTTCTCTGAAGAAGAAAGAGAGGAAGAGTTCCAGAGCGAAGAAGGATTCTCTGACGGATGAGAGTAATTACATCACGCTGAATTGCAAGGAAAATGGGGAAACCGTGATCCGCATCTCCAATAGTAAAGTCTCTTCGAGGAAAGATTCCACATCTGGAGTTCTCGACAGCAATCAGCTAGTCCAGCTGCTCCTTACTGCTCTCCAGAAAAAAGGGCATCCACCCTCAGAAAACGGTGAGACAGCCTCATGCAATAATTCATTTTAAAGCGCAAGATGGCCACAGGACGAGGACGAAAGCGGCCTCGACATCGAGGCTCGTGGATTCTCTCAAGCGAGCGTATCAGTGATGTCCGGGGCATTTCTGTATGAAAAATGAAATATGATTTATATATTTCTCCACTCCGTGCATATGTTCTCCGAATGAAAATTTTTCAGTAATAGAAAATATTAACATTGGATGAAGGCCCAGGCCCATAATTTCCAGCATCTTTACGAATTTCAACGGGGTTTTCTGGACGGGAAAGATCGGTCGAGGAATTCTGGAAGAAACGAAGGATTATGAGGTAAATGTGGCAACTTGGCCGGGTCTGAATTACTGCAGATATTACAGACATTACTGGATCTATCGTCGGAGTTATTGCTTTCGGGAGCCGAACAAGGGATGAGGAAAATGCTTGACAGAGGATTTAAAACGGGGAAACTGGGTTGGGGACGGCGTCTGAAACGACCTCATTAGAAACTCATAAGCCCTCAGCAGAATTTTGTATCCGTGCCGAAAGAACCTCATGAGGATCTCATGAATTTTTTCTCAGCGTGGATGGAAGAGAGAAAAGGAAAAAAGAAAAGAAAAATGATTTATTGCGCTTTCAGGATAAGATCAGGTCGCAAGAGGTCATTTAACTTCTCGAGTGGATCATCACGTGGACCGGCCGGGTGATTTTTCCTTCAGGCTCATGAATCTTACATAGAATTCCCGACGCATTCATTTATCATCTGCTGATATTAAATGACGAGCTTTCCCCTTTCTTTGTGCGGTCTAGCGCTGGCAAATGATGCGAAGGAGACATTTGGCAGGGATTCCAGCGGGCAGGTGAGCTCCTAATTTGTCAAATTCATGTGCCCTATGCTCCACATTCGAAGAAAGTATCTAGCAAGGAAAAGACTGAATTGTTTAAAGCAAAAATTTAGGACAATTGAGAATATATTTTGTAAATAAATAAAAAGTATATATTCGTAAACACCCAAGGGACTTCGTCTGACGGCATGCATCCTTCATGCACCATCAGTGCTCATGAATTTTCATGAATTTCATGCAACCATAATAGTTGAGGAACAAGTCAGGGAAGCCTGGGACACAGACCAGGAAGAACGCAGATCCTATCCTATATATTCCTATAGGATTCCTATTGGATTCCTATAGCAGCGGTTCTCAGCACCCCCGGGTGCCGCGAGAAGCTGGCAAGTGTGTCTCGAGTGTCGGGAGAGTTTTCCTTTTTGGCCTGTCAACAAAGCAGTGAAAGAAGGCCAAAAGTCTAATGTGCTACTTGATTGGTGCATTCGAGAAGCACAATAGGGAACGGGTAGGAAACCACTTCCGAAGAATCGCATCTGAAGTGTGACTCTTCAGACTTCAACCGACTCTCTTAATAAAAGTGTATACCAGAAGTATGCACTTTTATGAAGAGAGCGCCTATCAAGGAGGAATGTCCATATCAATATTTTTACCGTTATGCTGCTACCGAACCACGTACGAAACTAAGTAGACTCTATCTAAATGGAGTTTCCGTAAAGAGACGCGCTCGCAGGTTCTGTCTTCTGTTTTCTTAGGTCGAGAGAAGAATTCTACTACTTCTCTCTACCGAAGGAAGTAGGCGTGCAATCTAGCGACATATGTGGAGCCGGGCCATAAATTATGCAGACCCCCGCAGTTCCGGTATTAATAATGCATGTGTCCCTACCATGGAAAAACCTTTTATCTGTTTTTTATTTACACCGAAATGCTGCGTCAATATTAACCCCGGTCGCCTTTTTCGTCGTAATGCCTGGGTTTCGAAACCCAAGAAATCCTCCCCGAATCCTATAGGTCAGGAGTCCTATAAGACCCTATAGGTATCCTATAGGTTTTTCGTGTTTCAAAAACCTATAGGAAAGTCTATAGGTTTCCGGTAAGACGTGTCCGTTAGGGGAAGAATTAATTTTCCGCCGAAAGCTTGCGAGCGTTTGCACTTCACATTTAAATGCCCGCAGTTAAGTACCGGCCGTGAAGCAACACAGGGGCATTTAAATGCCGTTTAATGCATCAGCCGCACGACTCTCAGGAAGAGTTTCCGATCCAAAATGACAAGATCGAGAAGTTTTCTCACTCCAGGCTCAGAATCCCGCCCGCTCGGCTGTAGCCCGTCGCCCCGAATCGCGAACGCGGAGCACGACCCCGTCGAGATGGGGAGCAATGGAATTCAAAAACGGAAGAAAAAAGAACTGAGGCAATTTTTTTCCCCATTGTGTCGCTGGCGCTGCGCTTTTCTCCATTCTGGGCCATCCCCGATAACCTCAGGAATGACAAGCATGACGCATTCGATGACGTTCGCCAGCCAACAGCGATCGAAGAGCGCTCGACATGTTTCAAGCCCTCCAAGTGAACATGCGACGGTCGCTACGCGATCTGCCTCCTCCTGTCAGCCCCAATCATAAACCGAATGAGAGTCCCACTGTTCTATTAATAGACGTTGATAGCGCCCATTCCCTCCCTTCGATCCCTCACGATGTTCAATCTCCTCGTATTCCTCTCTGAGAGCATCTTGAGAGAAACGAAACGGGGCAAGTTTCTTCCACTTTCAGCACAAAATTGCTCCGACAATTTTGAATATTGAAATCTCCGGGTTGCAAAGAACACTTACTCTCGCATTTTCAAGATGTCAATTTCATTTTCGTTTTTTTGCCTTCCTGTTGAGTTTTCGGGGAAAGCGTTCCAGACAAAAGAATGACATCATTGGCTTTCGTTGAGATCACAAAGACTCCTTTTTTGCCTTTTGCCATGCATCAGTTCCCCATGAAGAATGAAATTAGCTTTCATTTATTTAGACTGAGCGTGGGGGCTCCAGTCCCTTCCCCAGGGTTGCCGGATATCGTGCTGGAGTTATGTCGGATTCACAACTACTTCGGCCTCCTTATCCATTTCCTGGATATTCGTTTTTCTTGTACGATACATTTTTGTGCCGAACTCATGGGACGAGCTGAAACCGAGACGATGATCAGCGGTGGCTGGTCAGCGTGCTGGGATATCGAGACATCGCACTCCGACATCCCTGCATCAGCAGGACCGCGTCTAACATGCATTTGAGGCAGACCTCGCCGAGATGGTTTGAGAGAAAAGGGGGGGGGGGGAAGTGTTGAAGAAAGGGGAAAACCTTTGAAAACTGCTTTTCATACGACTTCATTCTCGGAATCGATGACATTTCTTCTCTCTTTCAGAATACGGTGTCCCCGTCTTCAAGCCTAAAGGACTATCGCACAGCCAGCAGCACAGAGTTCGGACAGTGACCTTGGTGGGTCCCCCCACAGTGACCTTGAAGGGTTCCCCTCCAGTGACCTTAAGGGCTCGCGTCATTTGCCTCTCAGCCCTTATTCGTTCCCCGACCTTTGGATATCTGAAATTTTCTGGGTGTTGAGCGAGTTCTCCCATGTTTCTCGGTTTCAGTGTTTCGATGTCGCATCGGAAACTGGTCCTTCGAGGTCGATACTAATTTTGTCGGAAATAAAATTCTCTATTCGGCTCTAACGATGACGGCATTGCAAGTCAGTTCGGCGGATGGGTCAGAAAAACTGGAGCATATTTTCCATTGCTTTATATTTTGTCGGTGAGAGGTAGGTTTTCCTCGAAATTGCTCGTCTCAGTAGCATTTTTTTTTCATGCGTTATTATTTTTGAACTTTTGAACTTTGAACTTTTCTTACTTTCTAACCTCATTCATGTATTATTATTTTATTAGCATTCATCATGCGTTCGCCACCAGAGTCACAGCTTGGTGCCGAATCGCCAAGTAATTCCGCAAAATATGGAGAAAGGAGTAAGGACAGATGAAAGCACAACGTGAGCAATTCGGCATAGCCACGAATATGGCATGGCACGGTGCATCTATCAGAGCCAGATTCGTTTGTCATGACACAATTTCAGGTCGCATTCTTCCCTGCAACTCTGGTAATTTCTCAAATCATTCGGGTTTATTTGGCATCAAGAGTGGATTTCTTCCGTGGAGGTCGGGGTCGAGAGAAATGATGGCCGAGGGTTCAAGGGGCTATTCTTGAGAGACAATTCTTTTGGACATATTTGACACTTTTTTAAACTTTTGTTGACGTCAAGGAAGTTTTCTTTCGATCACGAAAGCTATTAGAGAATATTCCAACGTCGCATGCGGGGAAAGTTAAACGCGTTAACGTATGAAACAAGCTGATTTCCCAAGACATTCGACAGAAGAAAAAAAAAAAAACGAGGAACGCAAGAGGAGAATAAATACGAAAAGAGAAGCGAAGAGAAGCAATCCATCGCAATTGAATTGCAAAATCGCGCTTGAATTAGAGAGGAATCGCAAAATGGAGTCGCGCGGGAGCGCCCCCCACTATTGCTTATCGGAGAAATGTTGAACAGAACTCGCTGAACCTGGAAGAGGAATCTATTGTTGATTTTCCCCCATCGGGACTCGGGAGAAGGAAAATGGATATCTTCAGGGATACAAAGAGGGCGACTGCCTGAGGAAAGAACGGATTAAGACCTTTCCAGAACCGGTGGAACCCTCAGGAACTCGTGGCTTAGTAGAGAAGAGAATTTCTTTTTTTTTTAATAAATTTTTTCGTGTTTTGGTTTTTCCAGAAACTTTTTTAGGGACGAGGGATCTCAAGCCTGCTGGTCCAGATGCCTCTCCCGCACGCCGGACCTAAAGGCCAAAGGCCTTTCCGCCTGCAGAATTTGAGCTCCTTCCTCGGGATTGGGACGAGCGGCTTCGAACGTGGATCGTCGAAAGGATTTTTCAATTCCCTCCTCGCGAAAATTCTCCTCGCTGGCGACCTCCTGAGACGTTTCTGTTCCCATTGGCTTCTTCGAAAACTTTTTCCCTCAGGAAACAGGGGAAGCCTGGTCCAACGACGAGAAACTCGAACATTCGTGGCAGGTGTCAAATTATTTTGGAGCAATCTGGATTATTTATTATTTCCCTTGATAGCATTTATTGAATGAGTTAGTGTTGGGTGAAATGCTTCTTCGACGAAGTCGGGGCCAATTTCACCGAGTTTAAGAGCTGCGAATAATCCGTGGGGATCGACGCGGAGGCATTTCTCCGACTTTGTCGACTGGCGCATGCACACGAGCCTCTGCCGACATATTAAGCGACATTGCTTAAGCTAAGAATGGAGTCTCGCGGAAAACGAATGAAGAACGATACTTCCAGAGATGAGAGACCCAATGTCGTCACCGTGTGAAAGTACTATTCCTCCTGAAATCGGCATCACATTCATATCAAATTGCAGCTTTCTATGTCTCTGTTTCTCTGAAGTGGAAAAATTTCTTGAAAAAGTGACCACCCTCCCCCCCCCCCCCCGCCTCAGGATGCGGAGCGTATCTAGGGGAAAAATTTTTTAAAAAAGGGCCCCCCCCCCCCCCCCCCCCCCCAAAAAAAAAAGGGGTTCTAGGTGATGTACTTCCAATGAGGGTTTTTTTCCTGAAGTCATTCGTAACAGCCATTCGTATACCAATTTTCATCTCTCTCTCATCTAGATCATGGTTAGAATTAGCGTCAATTATTCAGTCACTCACTCGCGGCTCAGTCACTTTTTTTTTAAAGGCCATTCTGCGTGCGAGATAAGACGATCTTGCACCCTAGAATCAACTCTTTGGTGTTGCTTTTTTCGAAGAGGGAAAAGACGATCCGGCTCAGATTTCAGAGCACTGACGGGGAATATCGTATCATCTGAGAATCCCGATGTCAATATGAAACCCTCGACGAACAGCGGGAGCATCTCAGCAGAACCTTTCATCAATCACGACAGAGAGAGAGAGAGAAACCCGACGACATGCGACAACTGCCCATAATATTTTTTTCTCGTTCCCTCCCGTTTCCTGGAAAGGAGATGAGATGGGAGGGCAGGCTGGGTCGGAGGGCAGGCTGAGTCGGAGCGAGGGGGGAAAAGAAACAGTTTTTCCCCCGTCGCGGATTCCTCGTTCGCCGGCGTCGGCGGCAAGACGATAATAGAACGTGGTGGGATTGCCAAGCAATTTTTTGCGATTTTCGAGTAGATTTGCTCGGATGGTATCCACGTTTCCTGGGGCTTCAGCGGTCGTGAAATGGGAGCATCTGTTTTTCTCAGTCCTGTAAGCGTTTACATCGAATTTCCGAGGTGGAAAATATCCTTTACTAGTGATTTGACACCTACGAGCCCAGTGGTCCGCAACATTTTTGAGGCGAGGGCCTCACGGGCACTTCGGTCTGCCTCGAGTGGGCCGCATCGAAAAAGATGCAACATTTCCACATGGTTAATCCTTTATCTGGCCATCGAACTCTTGGTCAAGCCTCTCCAAACGAGGAAGTCCCCGGAAAACCATGAATCGTAAAAACTTTCTGTTGCTGCCGCATCCTCTCGTGGTCGCGAAAACTGCCCTTACTCGGCAATGGGAGCTCATGGAAACGCAGTGGTCCTGCTTAGAAGTAGTGTATTGGATAAATTATTTTTTTTTCTTCTCGACTTCAGTTTTACTTGCGAAGAAAAAACGTTTTTCTTTGCAGTGTATGTGGTGCTCCGAATTTTGGGCAAGTTTAGCGGGTGCACGTCTACATACATAAGCATTTAAAAGTAAGCATGTATTACAAATATCTGAATATCTTAAAAATGACTAAAATTGCTAGACTTCAGCGAATAATTTCAAATGCGAAGTCACAAAACGTGTTCATCGCAATTATTCATGAATGCCGATAAAACGGCTAATTGATAAAAAAAATTCAACTAATGATTAATCTTAGTGGGCCGCATAAAACCATGAGGTGGGCTGCATGCGGCCCGCGGGCCGCAATTCGATGGACTTAAGGAATGTTCCATTCCTAATCATATCGGGGAGTTCGTTCCAGGTGTAAATGGGAAGGTGGAAATTCGAAGGTGGAAATGTTGAAATATTTCGGGACGCGAACGGAATTGCGGAGACAGAAAGAAGGTAAATGGGGATGTTCGTGTTGATTCGAATTCCCGCTTCCCAGAAGAATTGAAGCCGCAAAACAATGGGAGCGGATAGTGGAGATACTCACCTTTCGACGAGAAACCCACGCCTGTCAAAAATCAAATGACTTCGGAGAAACATCGTCTCGAAAGCGAAGAACAGAGGGGGGGGGGTTGGTTTTCCATCATGACAACAGCAACTCAATCATCTCCATCTCATCTTAGCGTCTCTATTTGAATGTGGTAGGCTCTTTCGATGGCAGCAAGAGAACGAGAGGTAATTGACTCAAGTTTCGTAAATCGCAGGTGCAGCTCAGGTTAAGACAGGACTTTTTTACTTGTAGAGAGGTAAATGCGTGGAATGCGTTAGTCCACGACTTAGTGGCTGCCCCGCACCGCAACTATTTTTACGAAGGAATTAGTTGCTTTAATCGACAAGCAAGAAGGGGAGAAATGCTGACTTGAGGGACTAGGCAACAAGTTACTAGGATATGCTAAAAAAAATCGCAAAAATAACAAAAATACAAAAATATTTAGCTTGAGGAGGAGTTGGCCTACCCTAATAATTAAGGAACGCTCGACCTCGACACGTGGTATCCCAATGGGTGTCATCGCCTCTTGATGCCACTAAACAACCTTGACCCTTGAATTGAGCGCCGAAGGCGCGACCATTGCATCAGGTCAATTCATAAATGATTTCCGTTTGTTGCCAACTGTTTTGAAACGATTGTAACTTGTTTCAAGTTTGACGCGATAAATCGTGTTATATGTCATTCGATCGAGAAAACTGTAGACTTGTTGATAATATGCAATTCATTGTCTTTCCAATTTCATGTTGAAATAATAAGGGTAAAATGGATGATGAAAAAAACGCATATTCGGCAGTGCATTTTGTGGGAGTTCCAGCAAGGCTCAAATGCAACGGAGACAGCGAGGAAGATATGCACCTTCTTTGGAGATGGATGTGTTCGAAGATGTGAGGAGTGGTTGGTTTATCCGGATGGGGGTGGTGATTTCTTCTGTCGGAGATATTTAACGTTTCTCCGGCCGGGGATGCGTGGGCGATTGCTGGACTCATTTCTGGCATCAAACTCTAATTTTCTCTCGTCCTGCATCGATAATAGATTAGGGCCTATTCACACTATTGATTTGACCTCTGCATTAAATACTGCATGCTCGAACGTGCGTCATATAGAATCTTAAGAACTGATAGTGACTGTCGGATCAGCTTCGAAAATAAGAACTGATACGCATCCGTTTCCTTCGAGTCAGCCGGAGAAATATCGTCGATTTTATCAGGATTTCTGCGAAAACGATGAACCCTTTGCAGTCCATTTATTCGGAGACTGTCTGGCTCCTCAGGTCCAATTTATTTTAATGGAAAAATAAGATTTAATTAAATTGATCACTATCCTAGAAAATGGAGCACCGAAGGCGTGACCATGTTTAAAATATTCACATTGCAAAAACCTGCCAGTG